ACACTATCACATCTTTTTCAAGGAATCAGCTACTTTAGATCTTCAAATGTCAGCGGGTCGGCGTCATAACGCAATGTGCTACTTATTACAGTATTACTTTCTTTTGATGGCTTAATCTTTTTCTCCCCTTTTTAGATTTCTGATCAAGTTATGTTAGATTTATTAATGTAGTGAATCATCTGATTTTCATTGAGCAGGTGTGATATTTATTAATATTAATTATTCAAATTCTTATTTTCACTAAGGTGCAGCTGTTTGGGGTTGAATAATAGTTACGTCATCATTAACCTGCAGGCTGCATTCTGCTCCAGGGGGATGCGAGAAAATAAATAAATAAAAAGAGTGAAGCTGCAGAAAAATAAAGAATAGAAAGATTGAGGCTATGGTCAAATAAATAAATAAATGAAAAAAGTGTGACTGCTGAGAGTGCAGGCAGCATAGGGACACAGGCCTTTGTGGCCAAAAAACAGAATTCTCCCGGTCCTCCCGATTAGCCAATCTGGGCCTGACTGTGAAAATGGAGGCTTTAAACAACAATTGATTTTTAGTCACGAGACCAACTCAGCTAAAATGGTGGATGACTTTTTTCAGCAGTTGTTTTGGATGCTCTCACTTTTGAAAGAATTTTTATTTAGTTGTTAACAGATTAATCCCAGTTTATACATGCTCAAGAGTGCTTTTCTTCAAGGGAAACAGAACGTTTACTCAGAGCTGTTGTTTTGGCACTCTACCTATACTCTCACTCACACTTCCAACTTTATACTTCTGTGTAACTCATAGCAACAACTCCACCTCACTGGTGGTTTATTTATTAAACAGTTTTTTTTTTTCTAGACATATTGCAATGTTTCAAAGTGTAAAAGTGACCTTAACGCATGCATGGACGAAAGTATTATCAGAAACTTCAGTGTGGATGACCAATTTTTGGGAATTGATCGAAACAAGAGTGGACACAGAACATTATTAAATACTTTTAGATGTTTTTAGACAGCATTTTGGAGTGTTTTTTGCATCAATATTTTTTTAGATAAGAAGAAAAAGAGAGAGAGATTGACTGCATTGATTGATGGATTAAGTGATGGCATGATGAGATCATGTAACTGCTACCATTTTTGCCTTTTTGTGCAAAAGCAGAGGCTCTGTTCAATCCTTACTTTGTTATTCTGTAGTTCACAGTAGTAAGACTACAGCATTCAGAGTTGTAAATTCTACAATGTTTACATTAATACACTTTACTACAGTCGTGTGGGACCTACTGTATCTTTTCACTTGCAAAACATTGATAAGGTTGTAGGGAATTTCCTAGTTTTGTTTGTGTGTTTTAATGATTGTACAAGCATGTATCTGTACTGTATATGTGACAACTAGTGCTTTTTGTAGATAATAAAACATAACAGGGAACATAATAACATTATATATATATATATATATATATATATATATATATATATATATATATATATATATATATATATAATTTATTTTTACTGTCCTGAGACCAGCTTGCACAATACTAAATATTTTGATGTTGCACTATAAAAGTTAGTTAAAAGGAATTTTACAACTGTCCAGCAGTTATATAGTTGAGTTTCACCACTTTTGAATCAGCACTTAACATAAATCATTGAAGCTGGTTAGACCATTAACTTCTGTCAATAAAACCCACTTGCTTTCACTGGAAGAATACTTTGCAACCATGGAGAACATTTGCGTAGAATCAAAATAAAATATAGCAACTTCTCATTTCCCATTGTACATGTGGCAACTACAGAAAAGTCAAGCTTTGAATACACAAATTATCTAAACTCTTTGGTCATTTTTGAGCATGATGCGTCTTGCTCCCGGAGGAAACCCATGCAAACATGGGGAGAACATGCAAATTCTACAGAGAAACACCAACTGACCCAGTCGAAGCTCAAACCAGTGACCTTCTTGCTGTGAAGTGAATATGCTACCCACTGCACCACCGCACAGCCTAAATGTATTCGAAAATGGTAAAACTTAATTGTTTAACACTAGGGGAGTTGTAAAATGTCTTCAAAAAATAAAGTGTTTCTTTCATATACTTACTAAGCTTCTAGTGTGAACTTTGCAGTTTAAGTGAACAAATAAACAGCTGGTACCAATAGCCAGTACCAAAACCTGTGATTTTATGTCATGTAAAATCTTTAAAAAGTATTGGTTGGCCAAACCAAAACAATAGGATTTAAGTTAGTTATCTTGATTAGTTTAGAACAAAGATAACCAAACTAGGGCCAGCAGGCCAAAGTTGGCCCATGCTACCTTTGATTTGGCCCACCATCCCTCTTGAGAAAAGGAGAATGATAGGGAGGTGTTAGGGCAAATATCTTTGACAGAGATCGTCATTTTAAATTTAATGTAAACTTTTGTTTGTCTGACTTTTTAAAAATGTAAATACTGTCACTTGATGGAAAGAGGGCATGCACCACACACTCCATTGTAGGATTGTTTTTACTGTATTAAGTTCATTTTGTATGTTTTTTTAAACACTGTAGTAATTATTAAATTTTAAAGCAATGTTTTGTAGCTTTTTTTAAATTTTAGGAATGAAATTATGAAATCACTCATGGAAAATTAAATGTAATACAGATAGGTATTTTTACCTTTGGCCCACAGCCCTCAACCGCTTTTGCGTTTTGGCCCTTCATAAGAATATGTTTGGGAACCCCAGATTTAGAAAATGTGTTTTTTTTTTTCAGTCATTTTAATATTTAATGTTTCTATTAAAATATATTGTACAAATGTCTTTAACCTCCACTGTTTGTTTTATGGTCATATTATTCATTCAATAAATATCACAGTGCGTCAAAGCATATTTATAGACACTGTGTCCTCTGCACATGTGTTGGTTTTGATATTGGTGTATTTTAACAAGATTCAGTACTAACAGATTAATGAGTTTTAATGTGTGTGTTTGTGTGTGTGTGCGTGTGTGCGTGCGTGCGTGCGTGCGTGCGTGCGTGCGTGTGTGTGTGTGTGCGTGTGTGTGCGTGCATGTGTGTGTGTATGTATTTACTTAGCATTTTTTTGTGGGTTTAGTATTTTTTGCTATTAAAGTTTGTTACCAAGGACCTTTTAAATAGGTCCTATGTAACAAACTTTGAGTGCCTAGAAAAGCGCTATATAAATGTAAGGAATTATTATTATTATTATTATTATTATTATTATTATTATTACATAACCAGTGGTGGAAAGAGTACTGAAAAGCATACTTAAGTAAAAGTACCATTACTTGCCTAAAAATCTAGTGTGAGAAGAGTAAAAGTATCTGTTGTAAATATTACTCAAAGAAGGAGTAAAAAATAGACATTGTAAAAGTACTCATGAGTAGTGAGTAGTGAGTATTATGCCATTAAAAGCTGATGCATTTACATGTAATTTGTGGATGTGTGTAAACGTAACATTCTGTAGTGCATTTAGTTATTGCCCAGCAGGCAAACAATGTCATAAGACGTTAATATTAGGTTAGATTTAGGTTGTGATGTCAGGTGACCAAAATTCAATGTCTAGCCAGCGTCTAAGGACAACAATATTTTGTTTTCCAATATTGACATCAAATTGTGGATATTTGATATTCAGTTGATTTAGGTTGTTAGAAAGTGACCAAAATTCCAATGTCGAGCCAACATCTTAAACCAACATCATAGTGACGTCAAATACTTTATTTAGTATTTTAGTACTTTATTTATATTAATTTATTAATCAGTTATGGCAACCAAAATTCAACGTCTGATAGATGCATAGTGGTAACGTTGACACAACGTCAAGCTGTAACATCATTAGACGTTGATATTTGGTTGGTTTTAGGTTGGACATTGACATTGGGCTGACGTTGAGTTCTGATGTAATTCTTCTGTGAGTTCTGATGTGATTGTCATTTCTAAACAAAATGCAGCATCTCCACGACGTTAGTGTACAATTTCAATCTGACAGCATGTTGATGTCTTGTGTCTGCTGGGTGTTTAAGGCCATTTCGGTCATTTGTCATACTGTAAATATCCATCATCTTCTCATCAATGACATGCATCTAAACCAGAGGTGCCCAAAGTTTAGTTCCAACCCCAGTCAGACCCACCTGGGCTAGCTAATGAATCTCATAGTAGAAATATCTAGAAATCTAGAAATATCCGTGCAGGTATGTTGAGGCAAGTTAGAGCTAAAATCTGCTGGACATCGGCTCTCCAAGACTGTGTTTGGGCATCCCTGATCAAAACAGTCTCTGGGTCAATGCATGTAAAGATTTTGAACATCTTCTTGGACACTCACTGCTTCCAAACAGTTTGCTGCAATGTAAAGTGCACATGTCTTGAGGTAGTTCATTATGATGCAATTTACCTTCTATGTGTGATTTGATTGGACAGGAATTACAGGACTGATTTTTCTAATTCCCAAGAAAAAATAAAGTAATTACTGCAGGTTGAAGGAAAGTAGTGAGTGTAAAAATGTACAGATACTGCACTAAAAATGTACTCAAGGAAAAGTAAAAGTACACATTTTTAAAACTACTAAGTAAGTTACAATTCCTGAGAAAAACTACTCAATTACAGTAATTTTAATATTTCTAATTAGTCACTTTACACCACTGTAAATAAGTAAAATCATTTGGCATGGTCATGGAATTGCACTTCACTGCCTGGAACTACATTCATTAACCCATCAGAATCAAGCATTCATCGGTAGTATACTAAAATCAACTCGTCACCTTGGAATTATGAGGTTCTATCTGCGTTCTGAATGATTTTGAGATAGTGAGCTTAAAAGTTTTTGCATTCCTTATAGCAAACAGTATGTGTGTTACATTTGTTTTTTTAAATAAAACTTTTAAAATGTAAACAACTTATTAAAAAACATTCCATTATGTAATACAGTTGTCATTTAATAAGAACATGTCACTCAGTTTTGACAAAAATGTCAGATAGAACCATATCATTTTAAGGTGCAAACTGAAATCGATAAAGTAATTCATGAGATGGCGTTTCTTTGTCTTGTTCTTTTTTTTATTAACTCTCTTTTATACACTTTCCGTCTGAAATGTTGCTATACGTTTAATAAGGGTTATTCTTGGTGTGCTCCATGATGGCCATCAGAGCGAGCCAGGTCTCCTCGGCGGTTGGGACGATTTGATTGGCTGGCAGAATAAAACCATAGCGACCGGTGTCTCTCAGCTCAAAGGTGTAGGAGTACTTGATGCCCTGGTTGTAGGTCCAGTCAATAGTGCCTCCACTGGCTTGATCTGAAAGCAGAAAGATTTTTAGCAGGGTGACCATTACCCAAAACCAACACACAGTCATCATATTAAACTTACAGATGGTGGTAATGATGCTTCCATAGGTGTAGCGAGTGTTGTACAATGACTGCAGTGAAGTGATGGCCTTCCTGGCGACCTCATGCTAAAGGAACAATACAGAATTCAGGTCAAATGATGATAGATAAATAAATATTCAGTAGTGCTGTTTGTTTTCAGATGCATACCAGTTCAGCCTTGTCCTTGGCGGCGGTATATGTGTATCCGTATGGGTAGAGGAGCATCTGGGAATAGCTGTGGATAGACACAAAGGCCTTGATTTTGCCGTGAGACTTCACAAAGTCCACAATGGCCTTCACCTCGGGCTCAGAGTGAGCACTGGGGCCGCGGTAGGTTTCAGTGCAGGGGTTGTTGCTGGAACCACCACCTAATGATGGAAAGGAGAAACACAAGTAGTTTTATACGTTGTTCAGATGCACCATGTTAGACACATTGCAAACACTGCTTCCAGTGCCTAGATATTCTGGCAAATGTTTTGCTTCTAAACTAAAGATTCAGCATGCATGATTCTAACTAAAGTCCTGGAATTACAGTAAATTAGGATTTTTATGAAAGAGGTGTAACTTGTAGTAGACCCACACGTCAAAACTAAGTCATTAACAAGATTGAGCTCTACTTATCACAGTTTTTAATACCTATACCTACCCCAATTCTTATGGTTATTAACGTATACACCTACTCCACTGTCCACATACACTTGCGAGTTATGAAGACTTTCATACTTGATGTGCTCGCCATAGTACTGTTATTTGCAGCAAAATGGGGCCATGCCTATTAGGCTAACTGTCGTGACAAAACAGGTGAAACATCAGCTTGTGGAGTGGCTAAACTAATTAATTTAAGAATACATCAAATGAATATGTTGTGGACAAATTTGAAGGAAACGCATGAAAGCATTTGCTAAAAAGGTTCTCCGGAAAGTGTTATTTTCAACATTATGTCATTGTGATATCTTGCATGGTTCAATGAGATCTCAAAAACTTCAAGCTATGCCTCTATTATACAAGTTATGCCTCCTTCATGTTCAGTGGTGTAAAGTAACTAATTACAAATACTCAAATTACTGTAATTGAGTAGTTTTTATCAGGAATTGTAATTTATTAAGTAGTTTTAAAGATGTGTACTTTTAGTGCTGTATCTGTACTTTTACTCCACTACTTTCCTTCAACCTGCAGTCAATACTTTATTTCTTGTGTTAATGGGGATTAAAAAATTTAGTCCTGTGATTCCAGTTCAATCAAATCACACAAAGAAGGTAAATCACATCATAATGAACTACCTCAAGATGATTTATAATTGCAGCAAACTGTCTGGGAGCATTAAAAGTGTCCAAGAAGATGTCCAAAATCTTTACATGCATTGACTCAGAGACTGTTTAGATGCAAGTCACTGATGAGAAGATGATAGATGTTCACTGTATGATGACCGAAATGGCTTTAAACACTCAGCAGGCACAACAAGTCAACGTGACATCAGATTGATGTAGTACCCCAGTGTTGTGGGGACGTTGCATTTTCTTTGGAAATGAAAATCGGGTAGACGTCAGAACTCAATGTCAGGCCGACATCAATGTCCAACGGCCAAAATAAAACCAACCAAATATCAACGTCTAATGATGTTACAGCTTGAAGTTGTGTGGACATTAACACTATGACGTATATCAGATGTTGGATTTTGGTTGCCATACCTGATGAATAAATGTCAGTATTTGACATCAATATGACGTTGGTTTAAGATGTTGGTTCGACGTTGGATTTTGGTCACTTTCTAACAACCTAAAATCAACCAAATATCAACATCATTTGACGTCGTTATTGGACAAAAATAATGTCCTTAGACGCTGACTAAACAATGAATTTTGGTCACCTGACATCACAACCTAAATCTAACCTAATGTTAACGTCTTATGATGTTGTGTGCCTGCTGGGTAATAACTAGATGCACTACAGAATGTTACGTTTACACACACATTCGCAAATTACATGTAAACGCATCAGCTTTTTTACAGTGTAATACTCACTACTCACTACTCTTGAGTAAATTTGAAAGGTCTACTTTTTACTCATACTTTGAGTAATATTTACAAGAGAAACCTTTACTCTACTTGCACAACATTTTAGGTAAATAATGGTACTTTTACTTTAGAATGATTTTTCAGTACTCTTTTCACCACTGTTCATGTTACAGACAGACACTATTGGAGTATTGTTGTGGAACGTTCAGAAATTCCTATGGTTTACCACTAGAGGGCGATCTCTGTGAATCCTTAAACCAGTGTCTATGTTGTTTTTACATAATCTCAAATGATATTTTATAAATTTGTGACATTTTAAGAAAGAGTTTCAGTTAATCGTCTCAGTTAAAAGTAGAATAGTAGTGATGGATGCTTTCTGAACTTAGCTTCACAACAAGTGATATAGGGACTCAGAACACATTCAACTGTAAAAGTCTGTAAAACTGGCAAAGTAATTCAGTAAACAAGATTTGTTTTTCATAACCTTTTATGAAGCGTTTAGAAATTGCAGTGTTTTACTGTAGCGTACAAATTTTGAAGTCATGTCTCATAAAGGACTTCATTTGTGTATTGTGTGGAAGCTTCACAAAGCTCTAAAGTTGGTGCCATGATTAGAGTATGTATCAGATTGCTTTTTTTTTTTGCCTAAACCTTAACTTTTTTTGGCAAACTCTATATCATATGACAATTAAATACAGAACTGGATGAAAGTGGGATGATGACAGCGAAATTGGAGAAATTAAGAAAGAAAAGCAGTAAAAGAAGAAACATCTAAATTGTATTATGCTTAATAACAAATTAGCAATGGTAAATGGGCTAACCCCTGCTCTATTAGCCACTATTAATGCTATATAATACCCCTTCCAAAAGAAATAACTACAATGAATGAAAAACACATATCACCTCCAAAACCAGCATCCCAGTTCCTGTTGGGATCAACTCCAACGCAGCTGGAGCCAGGGTTTGGCTTTCTGGTTTTACGCCACATGCGGTCCTTGAACAAATAAATTTGCAGTTGAATAGCAGATACTTTGAATGTTTTCTCACAATATAGTTATTCTGAAAACTCAAAACTTACTTTGGTGTGGGTGTAGACGAAACCGTCAGGGTTGGTGACAATCTCCAGGAAGATATCATGGCTGTTCAAGATGTCAGTGAGGACGGGGTCACGTCCATAGTCTTTCACGATCTGCAGAAAGAGAAAACACAGAGGAAAATGTGCTTTAGTCAGTTGTTAATTCATTACACCAGTGAACCTGTTTGTGTTTGCTTTACCTTCTTGGCAAACCAGACTCCACTAGCCTGGGTGACCCATTCTCTGGAGTGGATACCAGTGTCGATCCAGATACCAGGACGGTTTGCTCCAGTGCTGAACTGAGAGTGAGGAAAAAAGTGGAATTATATTTACAGATTGCAAATAATATGTAATACAGGGTGTACATATACAGCTCGACCCAAAGGCTAGATAGAAATTACGGGAAAGAAAATTTATTTTGGTTTTTAAATCTAAATTTTTGGTGTTTAAAATCTCATTTTCATTGATTTAGATTTTCTTGGAAAGTGTAAACACTGTGTTTTTTTCTGGAAGGACAAAAGATGAAATGCATCAAATTTAAAACATGTCAGTGCATCCACAAGCAGTACAGCAAATGAAATCTGAGACTATTTACACAACAACATTGTGATATGTTTATTTGTGAAGGTTATCGTGACGGGACATGTATCCAAGTCCGAAATGGTCAAAATTTAAGTTTTCTAGTTTTAATCATCAAACTGCTGGGCAGCACGGTGGTGCAGTGGGTAGCACAATCACCTCAAAGTAAGAAGGTTGCTGGTTCAAGCCTCGGCTGGGTCAGTTGGCATTTTTGTGTTGAGTTTGCATGTTCTCCCAGTTCGCGTGAATTTCATCCGGGTGCTCCGGTTTCCCACACAGTCCAAAGACATGCGGTACAGGTAAATTGAATAAACTAAATTGGCCTTAGTGTATGTGAGTGTGTGCAAGAGTGTGTGGTTGTTTCCCAGTGTTGGGTTGCAGCTGGATGGGCAGTGTAAAACATGTGCTGGATAAGTTGGCGGTTCTTTCTGCTGTGGCGACCCCTGATTAATAAAGGGACTAAGCCAAAAAGAAAAGGAATGAATGAATGAACGATCAAACTGCATGCGCTGACAAATTTTATTTGGTAATTTTTACATACCATTTTTTCGATTTATTTTTATTTTGATCTATTTAACACAGATTTAACCATTTAAGAATGTGAGTAGGAGTTGGTGGTATTTAAACTGAGTATAATATAATATAATATAATATAATATAATATAATATAATATAATATAATATAATATAATATAATATAGTATAATATAATATAATATAATATAATATAATGTAATATAATATAATATAATGTGATATTATATGATATAATATAATATAATATAATATAATGTGATATAATATAATATAATATAATATAATATAATATAATATAATATAATATAATATAATATAATGTGATATAATATAATATAATATAATATAATGTGATATAATATAATATAATATAATATAATGTAATATAATATAATATAATGTGATATTATATGATATAATATAATATAATATAATATAACATAATATAATATAATATAATATAATATAATATAATATAATATAATATAATATAATATAATATAATATAATATAATATAATATAATATTATATTATATTATATATGCAAAAGGATATCATCTTCTCTAGATGTCTCAGAAATCTAGCTACAATAAAATTTAACACAAAAATCATAACCTACCTTCAGGACATTCAAGGGGCGTTTCTCGTAGCTCTGACCAATCACAACTTTGCTGACCATGTTCCTGTTCTCTGCGACAAGCATGTCCATGAATGAGTTGATCTGAGAACAGCATAGAGAACATTAAATCGTTTATGATATTAAGCGTGTAAAATTGTTCAAAAGGTATTGACATTCAGAAAAAAACACATGAAAACAAAAAGAAAAGCAAATTAATAAAATTGATGCACTTACAGAGTTCAGGTCATGGTAGGTGGTGTACACAAAGTCATCTGTAGATCTTGCAAGGCCACGATATTTCACCATATCACGTTGCTCATCATCCAACAGTTCCTTATGGTGAAAAAAATATGCTGTCAAAAACTAAATCCCTTTAAGAAATGATCATAAACATACAAAAAATATACAGTTGAAGTCAGAATTATTGGCCCCACTGAATATTAGCCTCCTGTTTTTTTTTCCTTAATTTTTTCAACACATTTCTAAATGTAATAGTTTTAATAACTCATTTCTAATAACTGATTTATCTTTGCCATGATGACAGTAAATAGTATTCTACTAGATCTTTTTCAAGACCCTTTTTCTATACAGCTTACAGTGACATTTAACTAGGCAGGTTAGGGTAATTAGGCAAGTCATTGTATAATGATGGCTTGTTCTGTAGACTAGCAAAAAAATATATAGCTTTTAAGGAGCTAATAATTTATGTCCCTAAAATGTTTTTGTTTTGTTTTTTAAATGAAAACTGCTTTTATTCTACCTAAAGACTTTCTCCTGAAGAAAAAAATATTATTAGACATACTGTGGAAATTTTTCTTGCTCTGTTAAACATAATTTGGGACATATTTAAAAAAGAAAAACAAGTTCAAAGGGGGGCTAATAATTCTGACTTCAACTGTATATATTTCTTGACTTGAACCCACATGACCAATAACCAACATTCAGCTGACCAAAACACCAGAAACACCCTGGCCAATTCAATAAATTATTGTCGTAGGATTGCTTATTGTCTGAAAGCAATTAACTAACAGACAAAGTTTTTCATTTAGTTTTAATTTAGTTTTTTCAGTAATAGTCTTACCTGGACATTCTCGATCATGATGTGGTATGGGATCTGATTGTAGGCCAGAAACGCCCTGACAGCCTGGAGACTGTGAAAGGGGACATGAAGATCCAGAGGCAGAGACTCAAGAATGGGCTCCATCCAGACACTAAGCTGAACATAAAGGAAACAATCATAAAAATCATATACCTAATGCATATGTCAAGTCATCACTTTTTACAATGTGAATTATGTAAAGAAAAAAGAAGAAAATAATTGATAATCGGGTCCTGTTTCACAAACTCTGAGTATGTTAACCCTGAAATGTGGGGAAAATCTGCGTTTTTCGTTTTTGACTAGCATATATTGTGTGAAACTAGGAAATGGGAGAAAATGGGGTATAGGCCAAGCACCTTTTTAACTTCGAGATTGACACACCTGCCATTCTGATACAAGTAACCCTTATTTCAGGGGTTGATATAATCAGAGTTTTCACTCAACCTTTGAAAAAGGCACCTAGTTTGACATTTCATCATTCTGAAACAGTTTCAAGCTGCATTTACACTAGTGCACTTTTGTTTTAAAGCGGCAGTATGAAAACATTCCTCATCCAGTTTTTCAGACAAAGGATCTCACATCATACAGCCTAAAACACATGATGGCTATTCACTCTCACTGGGCTTGTGCATAATTTGCTTACATCCATACTCACCATCTATTGGTTGTGTAATGGTCATATACTGTAAGAGCAGCTTGACGAATCAGGGAACAGCATGCATTAGTCTAGATGATCAGTCAGTGAGTGATTATGGATAGCCACACCTAGCAGTTATCAAAAGTTTGTGTTTCAGTCCAAACTTAAACTAGGGGTTTTCAAAATGCTCATGATTTTGATGATTCAAAGATGCTGGAGTAATGTGACAGCAAGCTTTGTCTCCGTAACAAAATGTATGTGTTTATCCAAAAAGGATTAGTGCAGGAGTAGGGAACCGAAGGCTCGAGAGCCACATGTGGCTCTTTGACCAAAAATATGTGGCTCTCAAGCTGTTTCTCTTCAATAATATTTCAAAATTTCAAAAAATGTAACTGTTACTAGAAAGCCATTTCCTGTTGAAAATACAATTACAATTCCCTTTTATATTGTATTTTTAACAACAAAATGAATAAGAACTCGCCACAACAATAAAGGGCAAGTTATATTTTTTACATTTCGATGGTAATGAAGTGGCGTGGCGAAGGCAAAAAAAGAAAAAAATCTGTAAATTGTTTATTTTTAAGTTGTGCAAGGATATAAAAATCTGTTCATGAATAAATAAAGGTTTTGTTATATACACAGACCCCATATGGCTCTTTGAAAATGCATTTGCTAAAAAAATCTGAACTGGCTCTTTGCTGAAAAAAGTTTCCTCCCCCCCTGGACTAGTAGAACTGCCTCATAAGATATGTTCAGTTCACAGAAAGCTGGCTTTGTTCTCGTTCAATAATTGTTCATTCCAGATTGATATAAATGTCATTGTTGAAGGATGTGATTCACTATACTGCAGCTCCACCAATCCCTACTAAACAAAATGAAGGAGATGGTGGCGAGAGACCAAAAATCCACCGATTGATGAAAATGGAGAAGAAAAAACATAAACTTAGACTTACGCCAAGATGTTCGCCCTCTTCAGTGAGCTCCTTCAGGAGGTCAATCTGAGCTTCATCTTTTGGAGTGATCCGAAACACCTGATCCCTGTGCAGAAATGACAGAAATGATTTTCAGAAGTACACAATAAAAAATTACCTTTGTTGTTTGTTCGAACTATTTATTTAAAATGAGCTGAAACAACACAATTCTTGAGTTTTTTGGGGGGACAACTTGATTGTTTTATGTTAAATCTACTTAATTTTGTAAAAACAAATAAGTTAACCTAATTCTTTCATGATGCCCCAACACAAATCGACTATGTGGAACCCAGGATTTTTGAAAGCATACATTCAAAGAAATGACTTTCGCTGCTTGTTCGAACTACTAAAATGAGCTAAATAAACGCATTTTTTTACTGCCCAATTGTTTTATGTTCAATCCACTTAATTTTGTAAAAACAATTAAGTAAATAAAGTAAACACAAACTTAATCGGTTTGTGTTGGGACAACATGAAGGAATTGATTGAAACCCAGCATTTTTACAGTGTTACATTTAATATTGTTTAATATTCTATTTTATTGGTAATTAAGGGGAAAGGGGCATTTTGCACATTCAGTAAAAGTTAGAGGGTCCAGAAAAATGCTAAAACTTTTGGACAGTAAAATTTTAACATTACTGACACTGCTTTGTATTGCACAGAGGAGTTTTATAATAACCACCTTTCAAAAGTCAAAAACAGACACAAACTGGACAGTTAAAAATAGAAATCTGTTAAATTTCTTATGAAATGTGCTGTCAACATCTTTAACACTCAACTCTGAATAAGCCACAGCTTCCTCTTTACACTAACACTTTACCTCTTTTATAAAATGAAACATTTTAAAAAATGTAATTTAGCTCATTTACCAAATGTTAAAGTAATGAAATTTAAATAATTTATTATAAAATACTTAAGTTTCATTATTATTTGTTTTACATTCCTATGCTATAATGTAACTACTAATGTAACTAATACAAGAAGAATGGTTATATTCTAGAGTGATTATCAAATATTCATTCATTCATTTTTTTGTCGGCTTAGTCCTTTTATTAATCCGAGGTCGCCACAGCGGAATGAACTGCCAACTTATCCAGCAAGTTTTTACTCAGCGGATGCCCTTTCAGCCACAACCCATCTCTGGGAAACATCCACACACACATTCACACACTACGGACAATTTAGCCTGTGGGGGAAACCGGAGCACCCAGAGGAAACCCACGCGAAGGCAGGGACATGTAAACTCCACACAAAAACGCCAACTGAGCCAAGGTTCGAACCAGTGACCTTTTGCTGTGAGGCAACAGCACTACCTACTGCGCCACTGCCTCGCCCGATTATCAAATAGCAAAAAAGAATTTCATATATATATATATATACACACACACACACACACACACACACACACACACACACACACACACACACACACACACACACACACACACACACACACACACACATACACACACACACATACAGTTGAAGTCAAACTTAATAGCCCCCTGAATTATTAACAGTATCTGGATGCAGCCTTTATGATGCAATGTCAGACACATTGCACTCAATGGAGTAAGTGACGTCACTGTGACAGGTAGGGTTAGGGGTGGGGTTAAGTGAGTGCATTAAAAAGCATTGGATGCAGCTTAGATTGCACTGCACCAGGTCTGCATCTAGACCCCTCTGAAATTATCAGCCCCCCTTTTAATTTTTTTCCCCAATTTTTGTTTAACGCAGAGAAGATTTTCTCAACACATTTCTAAACATAATAGTTTTAATAACTCATTTCTAATAACTGATTTATTTTATCTTTGCCATAATGACAGTAAATAATATTTGACAAGATATTTTTAAGACACTTCTATACAGTTTAAAGTGACATTTAAAAGCTTAACTAGGTTAATTAGGTTAACTAGGCAGGTGAGGGCAATTAGGCAAGTTATTGTATAACGATGGTTTGTTCTGAAGACAATCGAAAACATTATAGCTTGAACGGACTAGTAATTTTGACCTTAAAATGGCTTTTAAAAAATTAAAAACTGCTTTTATTCTAGCCGAAATAAAACAAATAAGACTTTCTCCAGAAGAAAAACATTATTATACATACTGTGAAAATTTCCTTGCTCTGTTAAACATCATTTGGGAATTATTTGGGCTAATAATTCTAACTTCAACTCTATATATATATACATATATATATATATATATATATATATATATATCCATATAAATCCATTTCTCAGTGAATATTGGCAATGTAAATCAGATTTATTAAACAAATATATTTATTAAAATAATATTTTAGTCACCAAACTTATTTAGAAATAGAAAGACAATTAAATTAAATAAAAAATTACAAATCACATGTATGCAAAATATTGCAAAAAAATTACAACCTAAAAAATTTTAACAAAATTTTTCAATTATTTTAATTTTCTTGATTTTCCTTTTTTTAAATTTGTATTTAATATTTTCCTATAACATATAAATTTAGCTGTGTTATTTTTTGAAGCATTATCTTAAGTTATTTTGTTAGATAAGCTCCAGATTTGGCTTCAGTACTGACTAATCATATGTATTTGCACAAATATTGCATAGCTTCCTATTAAAAATATAAATTTAAAAGATAGATTTGTGGGGGGTGCTCCTAAATATGCTGAGCACTATATATATATACCTAAAAAAAAAAAAAAAAAAAAAAAAAAAAAAAAAAAAAAAAAAAATTATTTTGCAACATCTCTTTAAATAAATTATTAGGCTAATAATAAAAAACAATTGCTGTTATAGTATGCTTCTATCTCTACTGAGATATGTAAACTCACCCCTCAAAGGTCTTTTTGCCAAAGACGGCCACAAACAGAGCGATCAGCACCAGCAGCCTCTTCATCTTGCTCGAGTAGAGCTTTCTCGAGTGGCTTGTGCTTTATATAGTGACGGTGACCTTGTGTTTGAGGTAGTAGCTGAAAGCAGACCTGCTGCTGCACTTCCCACAAAATTGTACAATACTAATACTACAGTTTGACAGATGAGACTAAAGCAGCTGTTTTACTATATGTTACTTTCAGCAACATTCAATGTAAAAGAAAAACAGTGCTTGGCCAAAAAATGATGCACTATCTAATATTTTGGGGGCCTGTTTGTGCCCTTGCATTTTCTGTGGCATTGTTTCAAACTTTACATAATATCAGACAGTTATTTCTATTAAGAGTTGCAAGAACCGCACACACTGCCGTTAGTAAGCTAGTAATATATTACTATGTATACAGTCATAGACCATCATGTGGCACAAATATGTCATGTGATTACTTAAACCCAAAACAGCAAACGTTTCCTTTTCTACCAGGCAGTGAATAATAATAATAAAATGACTTTAAATAATAAAAATGAATTATTATATATGTGTGGCTGGAAGGGCATTTACAGCATAAAAGAAATGTGCCAGAATAATCGGCGGTTATTATCATTATCGGCGGTCATTATTATTATGATTATTATATCTTAAAGGATCGTATATATTATGCATACATTATAGAATTTTTTTTCAACTATTATACTGTATTATTTATTTATCAAGGCGATGGACTCGAAATCCATTGTGGTCTCCCCGTTCAGGTTCGAACCCTGCTGACTACGGAAAAACCAGCTTGTGGCGATGCAGTGGCGCAGTATAGTGCTGTCGCCTCACAGCAAGAAGGTCACTGGTTTGAGCCTTGGCTGGGTCTGTTGGAGTTTCTGTGCATGTTCTGAGTTTGCATGTTCTCCCTGTGTTCGCGTGGGTTTCCTCCAGGTGAATTGGGTGGGCTAAATTGTCAGTAGTGTATGAGTGTGTGTGTGTGTGTGTGTGTGTGTGTGTGTGTGTGTGTGTGTGTGTTTGTGTGTGTGTGAATGAGAGTGTGTGGATGTTTCCCAGAGATGGGTTGCGGCTGGAAGGACATCCACTGCGTGGGTTTCCTCTGGGTGCTCTGGTTTTCCCCACTGTCTCTATAGGTGAATTGGGTAAGCTAAATTGTCCGTAGTGTATGAGTGTGTATGGATGTTTTCCAGTGATGGGTTGCAGCTGAAAGGGCATCCGCTGCATAAAACATATGCTGGATGAGTTGGCGGTTCATTCAGTCAATCTACAGAACAATTAAGAGGAACCACTGTTTACACAAATATTTGTTATCAGAAATAACTAAACAGGTCATCATGACCGAATCATGGAATCATTCACATCTTCTGAAGTATTTTTACTTACAAAACATCATAATAACAAAAGATAGACAAAACTGACGAATCCTCACATGCAAACACTCATCATTCCTATCACTCATCATTCCCATCATCACTCATCATCACTCATCATTCCCATCATCACTCATCATCACTCATCATTCCCATCATTCATTTCTAATTTTACCAATTTTACAGCTGGTCATGCACTGTAAAAAAAAAAAAAAAAGGCTTGTGATAGCTGATTTAAGTTGAAATGAAAAGTTAATTGGATTCAACTAAAATATTTATGGCAGGAAGATTGTTTTACAGGGTGATTGTAAGTCCAAGAGTCTGGTAAAATAATATAAGCTCGCACACTTTTAGAAAAAATATCAAAAGCTGTCTAAAGCTATTTCTGTGTACACTTTAGTGCTTATAACTACTTATTTAAAATGAGTTGAAACAGCACAATTCTGTTGTATTTTTGGGTCAACTTGCACTGACATAAAGGAATTATGTGGAACCCATCATTTTTTACAGTGTAGAATGGTGAAAGAAAATATGCAAAGATTATTACTTTGCTTACTTTGTTTTGCAGAACAGCAGAAACACTTTTACCAATGATATTTCTGACTTCATAGTTTCATCTTAAAGTACAGACAGGCCTTCTGCTCCCGTTCTCACACGCTTGTGTAACACTGAGAACAATCCACCTGTTTAGAGCTTTTTTCCACCATTCATTAAGGCATCACCCTGCCAATTATTTGAAATATTAAGAAAGGTTGCAAGTGTCAACTAGCTATTTTCCTTATCAGTGAAATCTTCTGCAAAGTTACAATGTACAAACTGATATTTTCTTTTACAAAATAAGCTTTTTTAAGGCCCATGTCAAACTACTTCTTTTTGGATTTGTGGCATCACAAAAAACCCAAATTTATATGAACCCCACTTCTGGGTTGGATGCTTCCAGGAGATGACCAATCAGAGACGATGGCATATGATGTCAACAGGTTTTATATAAAATAGATGCGTAAGATAAAGGTAAAATATGTAAAAAAAATTGTGATTTTTTTTTCATGAAGCATGAAAATGTTATACAATTCATAAACACAACTAAGCCTTCAAAAATAGCTGAGCGACCATCCCTTTAAATAGATAAGTCAATCTTGTCTATGAAACTAAAGATAAATTAAGAAATGTGTAAGCAAGATAAGACAGGAAAAACACACCTAGTTACGGATTATATTTAGATAACGTTGTCATGATAGCTGATCATAATATAGTTAGTCATGACAATAAAGTGGTGGTCATGTTATTTGGATTTTGTGGGTCCACAATAAGTGTACACAAATAATTTAACCAAAAATTTACTCACCATTTACTCACGCTACATTGTTATGTTTGTTTCTTTGTTGAACACATATTTTGAAAACTGGTAGTCATTGACTTCCATAGTTTTTTTTTTCTACACAGATTCTAACTGGTTGTGAAAGTTTAAGATTTGGTGAGGATTATTTTTAGGCACTTTTTAGGCACTGCATAATATCATTGCGCCTGAGCAGCTGTCCCTAGATTGTTGCGCTGAAATAAGAGTAGTTCCTAGAAGTAGTACCTAACTTTTAATCTTGCATCGATATCAGTAATCAATGTAACTACAGAAGAGTCAAGCGTTATAAGAAAATTATAAGAAAAACTCATTTTTGAGCAAGATGCTAATGGTCTAATTCGATTCTATGATTTATGCTAAGCTAATAGAAAGAAAGAAAAAAAACATTTTCAGAACCGTTTGCCTACAATGTCTTTAAGATGTTCTTGATGGATTATTTCATGTTGTTGATAAAGAAAAGTTCTTAGAGCATTGATTTTGTGAATAACGTTGTTATATCCAAAAATGTTTAAAACAGTTAAGTGTTTAAAAATTAAACTTAATGTAATTGTTATTACATTATCTAAAAATATTCTAAGAACATTATAAAATAATGTTAAATAGGCCAGTATGAATGTTGAGGGAATGTTTTAAGAACCTAAATTTGTAAGCTGGGTAATGCTTCTGCTTATATCACCACACCCTTCAAAAGTACAGACAGTGAAGAGTGAACGCAGCTTCCTCTGTGAGGTCTGCGCATCAGGGTTTGCTAGAGTACTGCTGTTTCCTGTTTTCCTGTGCATATGATGAATCAGTCTGACCTTTCACAGTCTGTTTTTAAATACTGAACAAAAAACGGATTCTATTTCAATCAAAAAAAAAAAAAAAAAAAATCAGTCTACTGTATACACAAGACATTTTTATACCTTTACTAAATATATTTCATAGTTTATATTGCAAATTGTTATTATTTAATATAAATTGTAAAGTACATACACACACACACACAGTTTATTTTAAATAAGCAGTTTAATGGAGTAAAAAAAAAATATATTTTTGTGTATCTATCTACAGGCACACACACACATATATATAAACTTATATACTGTATGTATTTATGTGTGTTTACATGTATGCGGGAATATACTTACATATTATTATTATTTTTTATCTCTTTATGCTTATTTCTTTCGATTCATTCTTTCAGTCTTTTTAGTTTATTACAAAAATGGCAATAGTATGAATAAAAATATTTGATAAAAATTATATTTTATTTATAACTTTATTTTAAATGATCAAATTAATATTTAAATAATAAACAACATTTTAATTTAATTTAAAATCTAATTTAATGTTTTTAATAATGCCAACACCAATAACATTGTTAAACAATACTTAACCGTTTAAAAAAGCATGTATGATCACACAATAACACTTTACATTTTAAAATATTTAATTAAAGCATTATAAAATTTATATCAAAACAAATATTTACACAAAATAGACAAGCACTATTTTGTTGCACGAGAGACTCATCGCTATATAAAATACTATTCTTCTTATAGTGATGTACCACTGTTTCACTTTGTAAGAGAGAAATCTCATGCTTAAATCTGATTGGTTGGTCACATCTCCATCCCCGCTCCTATTGGCTGAGCAGCGCACATTGGCAATGAGCGGAAGTCTCTCCGCGTGAGTGAGTGTGAGCAGAGGGACGGAGGTGCGAGATTCACTGTCCCGTTCAACATCAGTGACCCGTCAGGAAAAGTTACCGGTGGAGACAGAGTCAGCGCTGGTTATCATATTTAATAAAGCACGACAAGAATGGAGATCGAGAAGGAAGTTAAAAAGGTACGCTCACTGAACTGGTCATGGTCCAGAAGGTTATAGTTTGAGAAACATTCGGCAACGCCCTTCAAGGTAAAGCCACTGCCATTGTTATACATGGCGAAACATTTGGGCATTGCGACGGTCACGATTGAGGAAAAATTGTTGAAAAGTATGGTTACATTTATTGAGAAATCGGAAGTGGTTATTAATAGGAAGTTGCAAGGTTGTAGGAAGATCCTCGATGCTCATTTACTTGACAGAAGATAAATAAACAAATAAATCGAAAGGAATATATCAATTTCTTTTTTATTATGTAAATGAGCTGGAAGTTGTTATTATTATGTTTAATTCTGCATATTAATTCCCTTTTAAGGATGCCACTGTATAATGTGGCGTTATTTCATCAATATTGCTGCAATTCAGCCACAAGCCTGGATGTAGTTTGAAGTTTAGTGGTTGTAAAGGGGTAAATGTGTTGTGACATGTACAGTAAAGAGTAGTGAGTTGCAAAAATGTGAAAAAGTTATTCTGCTTGGCAGCTTATTGTTCATTTTGTCTTCATTTTGTTCCAAATGTGTATGAATTTCTTTCTTTTGTGAACGCAAGAGATATTTCATGAAACTTTTTTCAATGACTGAAAATGTCGACATTGCAATTAAAGATAGAAGTAAAGTTGGTTTTATATTCACACATTCAGACTTTCCCCTTAATAATATAATTTCATATAAGTATTATTTGCAAACTCAAAACAGTAAAATCATATTAGCAGCAAATGACTATCAAAGTACAACATTGTTCACAGTCAAATAAACAGTGTTAATGCTGTTTTCAAGTCATATTTGCATGCTAATTCCAATCGAATATTCAAAGTAACATGGTAAACAATATATAGACTTCTAAATGAACGAATGTGCGAATATAAAACCAACTTTACCTCTATCAATTAAAGTTAGTGCCTTTAATTGCATTTAAGTAAACTTAAAATGAACTAAACTATTACTTTCAGTAAAACAAATTTTGTCAGATTAGAAAACAAATGATTAATTTCTGATCTTTTGCATTTTTGCAAATTAGGTTTTGTTGTCAACAATGTACTTTAAAATGTAAACTTTTTGTGGTACTTTAAAAAAAATTGTGTATACAAATAATGTTGGGCCACTCAGTGGCGCAGTAGGTAGTGCTGTCGCCTCACAGCAAGAAGGTTGCTGGTTCGAGCCTCGGCTGGGTCAGTTGGCGTTTCTGTGTGGAGTTTGCATGTTCTCACCGGGTTCACGTGGGTTTCCTCTGAGTGCTACGGTTTCCCCCACAGTCCAACAACATGCGGTAAAGGTGAATTGGGTTGACTAAATTGTCTGTGTGTGTGAATGAGTGTGTATAGATGTTTCCCAGAGATGGGTTGCGGCTGGAAGGGCATCTGCTGCGTAAAACATTTACTGGATAAGTTGGTGGTTCATTCCGCTGTGGCGACCCTGGATTAATAAAGGAACAGCTGAAAATAAAATAAATGAATGAACAAATAATGTTAAAAGGGATTTTGGTCCACACAGATTTACGAATTTATTTATTTTTTTGTTTTTTTGGAAACCAATAAACGGTAAATAGGCTGATTTAAAATGCTAGTCCTAATACTAATTTGATTTTAATTTGAGTCTAATTGCAAAAAAACCCCTCATAAATATAGTTGAAAACTGATTTTATTTTACTGCCAAAACAAAGATATAATCGAACATCTAGATCTTTGTTTTCTTACAATCACTTGCAAATTGCAATTCTAGAGCTTACAGCTGAGGCTAAACTATATTTTGCTGTCATCTTAACACATAAAACACACGTCATAAGTCACCATTATATCATATGAGCTTTTTAAACTTTATACATGTTCAAAATGAAATCATTTTCGATTTTAAAAACATAAAAAAATTCAGTTAACAACAACTAATTTTCGACTTTTTCCTCACACAAAGCTGTTGTTTGGCTAGACTTGAATTATGTTGTACGTTTTGTGGACTGCTTTAATGGTGCCTTTGTGTGCTTTTTAAAGCTTAAAAGTTGCCATTCTCATTCATTTGAATGAAGAGAGTGTCATATTTATGGTCTGCAATACCACAGTGAGCCTTATTGTCTTGACTTCAGCAGTGATTCTTTAGATCTTAAGCAGACAAAAAGCCTTGTTTAGCACAGGAGATGCGCAGAAACCCTGCAGGCATTTCTCCATCTTGATAAATACTTGACCTTATAAGGCGGTCTTCAAGCTGAGGGGCTTTTCGGTTCAGAAGTGCTGAGTCAGGAATGAGCGCTGCAATATAAATATTAGAATATCCAGTCAAGCAGACTGATGGTAGGTCTGTCTCAAATATACAATGCCCATGAAATAGACTTGGGTTTTAAGAGGCTTTCTTCTCCATCCTTTAATTAACTAAATTATGCACTGCTTGATACTTGAGCAGTCTGAAAAGTCTATATTTATTTCTCCTTAATTATAAGTTCTCATGTCTTGAAGTTTAAGAGGCACTTGATCATGTAATTGAGGAGAATAAAGAAAAACTTCAAATGACATCAGCCTGTGAATATTGTCTGCTTTTTTATTAATAGAACACAGCAAAGTGCAGCTTCATCTATGACTGAATTATGCAAGTAATTCATTATCATAACAAGTGAATCCAATGAATTTTTTAAAGGGATTAACAGGTTACTTGTTGGTGTACTTTTTTCATAGTTGGAAACGTGCATTATTTTATTGTTAGAGCTATAGATAAGTTCAATAAATCAGATATAGATATATTAATGTAAAAAAAAACTCTTAATTTAAAATTTCTATATTTTGTGATTCACACATGTTTTATGTTTACTTGTCGTTGTGAATTGCATTATGGGATGTTGATATCTGCTCTGTTGACTTTTGAGGTGGACAATTCAGTTTTGCAGTATAATAAAGTGACTTTTATTGACACTTTAGTAGTTCAAAATAATATGATGTATAAGAAAATTATTAATAGAGAAACAAGTCTGTAAAATAACAGAAAATGTACTGGCAGCTTATTATCAGTTTTTGTTTTTACCATAGTATACAACATCAACCCAGACAGTATATCACTTTAAACTATTAAAAATGTAAATAAAAGTCACTTTTTTGAAAGTTCAAAGACCCATAATGCAATTCAAAAGAAAATGTATAAATATGAATCACAAAAAAAATGCTAATTTATGAATATTTGTACAGTGTATATGCTGAATTTGCATATTTATGTTTTTTTTGTGATTTGATCTGAATTTGACTCTCAAAATACAATATATATATATTTTTCCATATCTGTGGGGCAAAATTTTCAGTAGTCTTCCATGTCATACTTTTCTTTAAAATAGCTTTCTAAGATGCTGATTCTTTGCTCAAGAATTATATTTATTATTATTATTAATGTTACAAAAAGCTGCAATATATTTTTGTGGAAATTCTGATGGAATAAAATAATAATTTATTTGAAACAAAAATGTCTTTACTTTTGCTTTTGATCTCTTTAATTCATTTTTATTAAATGTAATCATTCATTTATTTATTAAATGTCTTACTGACTCCAAACCTGTTTTTAATAAAATTTTCACTGGCCATTTGAAAAACAAATCTAAATTTTATATCATATGCAAAAATTTCAGAGGGTCGTTTAAAATACCATCAATTCAAAATAAAATTCAATTTAAACAGGATTTTCTCTATTTTTTAGATAACTCTTGGCCATGAGATTGGAGCTGGAGCTGCCTGTCTGAAATGCAAGGACAAGTGCGAAGGTTTCGAGCTTCACTTCTGGCGGTTTGTACAAGTTCCTTCTTACATATTTGTGCAATAAGACAATTCTTCCATTTTGAAAAATGTCTAATCATGCTTGTGACTATCATCAGTGTATCCACTCTCTTTTTATCCATCTTTATTAAATTGGTCAAAAAAAGTATAAAAAAAAGAGGTCTAAACAAGACCCTGTCATGCTGAGAGAGCTCTGGTCATTAGTTGTACTTGGCTGGTTTTCCCGAAGCTAAATCCACAGGTGCCAAGATGCCAGTGCTAGGGCTCTATCACTACAGCATTAGTGTGTGGCATTCTCAAGTGCCCTCGTGGGGTTTCAGGAATTTTCTGAATGAAAAAGACGTCAATGTGAATACAGGTCAACTGATGCTGAACCAGAGACTTTGTGTTTTTTTAATGCTGTTGGCTTGGGCAACTGGACATTTCGTGGATAAACACTAATGTGGAGGTCTTAGAGGGACTTTTAAGGAAATACATTTGTCTGCCACAGAGAAAAAAAAAATAAAAAAGTTGATTGACTTTTTTTTCCCATTTCAAAATGCAAGATATGAACTTACAATTTTACAGTTTTTGCAAATTAAGTTTAAAATTTGCAACCGTAAATGTAAACCCACAATTAGGACAAATACAAATCTGTATTGTGAGATTTAAACTCACAATCCCAAGAAATAAATGTCAGAATTGTGAAAAACTCCAAATGTTGAGATGTAAGCTGAAAATTTAAAAACAAAATGTGAAAATTGCGAGATATAAAATCAGACTTTACAGTAAAAGTCAAAGTTTCAAGACGTGCAGATTTCAGACGCAAAATTTCAGACGTAAGCGTGCAGATTTGGGATACAAATTAAAATTTAAGAGAAACAAAAGTCTCAATTATGAGAAATTCACTGCTCACCATCCCGTGGAAAAAAAAGTATAAATTTAGATGTAAACTTTAAATTTTAAACAAAAAGATTCAACTTGAAGTTACGAGTTTATAAGATCCAACTGCAAGATATAAAGTTACAATTGTGAAAGAAAGAAAAAAACTGATGGAATTGCAGTCTCAAGGAAAGAAATCTAAAATTAAGAGATTTAGAATTTGTCCAAAAAATTTGAGATACAAATTCGATTGCAAGATATAAAGTCAGAATTGTGAGATGTAAACACACAGTTTGTTAGTTTATAACTTGTTGTTGTGACAAACATAATTGTTAGAAACTACTTGATAAAAACTTCCATACGTTTTCAGAAAAAAGTCAAAACTGTGAGAAATGCATAATTGTGAGGGGAAAAAAAACATATTTTCTACTAGTGAAGTGACTTCCTGCACCTCTTCTTTCGTCTAAACCCATTCTTTTGTAAATTTCTTTGAAACATCTGTGCTTTGATGCTTTGGATCACTGACATCCTGAAACATTTCTTTTGGGTGAAGATAAAGCCTCTTTGGATTTTCAGTTACGATTTATGCTGAAGCATTTTCCAGAGAACATCATTCTTTCTCTGTGGCTCTCATTGAAATGTTAAACAGCTCAATGTTGACCTTAAAGGGGCCATATTTCTATCTTTTAAAGCATTTTAGGTTCTGCACTTGCAATGGAAGTCAAGGCTTCTTGAACCAAAGGGTCAACATTTTGTTTATTGGCCCTATTATGAAGCTTATGTTCTAAATGACTGTGATCTGCAGCAACAAAATAATTGGAAGTCACTCGTTTTCATTCAGATGTTCAAGAGAAGTTTATAATAGTAATAATTATTATTATTATTTTGTTTTGTTTTCCTCGATTTCTCATTGCTTTACCAAAACAGTTAATCTCCTAACTGAGTCCTAATCTCAGCATGTTTGGCATTCAGATTTATTCCTCATTCATTCATTTTTCTTTGGCTTTGTCCCATTATTCATCAGGGGTCTCCACAGCGGAATGAACTGCCAACTTATCCACTTTTACACAGTAGATGCTTTTCCAGCTGCAACCCAGTACTGGGAAACAGTTCAGATTTATTTTAATAAAAAAATTATATGCATGTCTTAAAATTAAATTAAATTAAACTAAAAACTTGCCAGGCAGGCATTCAGTTTTTTTTTTCTAAGTAGGAAACATAATTAAAAATATCAAAAACATGATGCTCGGTTTCACAGAGAAAGGGAGAAAAAAAAATAAATCAAAGGCCAAGTTATATAGATTTTGTATACAGAAGTTAAAGTACATCTTGAATGTCAAGCTATAGGTTGTTTGAAGTACATAACAACCCCATTTCCTCCAGTGCTTTTCTCCTTTGTCCTTTTGCAAGCATAGAAAAGAAGGTCACTTTTTACACATATTTTTCCATATATTTCACTTATAATATTTTGTAGAACATCCATTTCAGGATAGCCTCGTTTAAGCTAATGTTTATTAATTTCTTGCTTACATGCAACAAAACAAATCTAATTTATTACCTTACTTAGTTTGTGTACTTTATTTTATGAAATAAAATACTCTAGAAATCATAGTGAAAGTGTTTATGCTGTTCTTTTTCCACATCATTGCTAAATGTTTCTGCATGCCGTAACATGACATGCACTGCAATCCAAACTCATGCTATCATACACTTAACCAGTGTGGAGTTATACATTTTTCAGTCAGTTCAGTTTGTGCAATACATTTACATGCTTAAAGTGAACCAAATTCATATATTGAGTCAATACAATCTAATTTACTAATCTAACTTAAATCTTCTGTGTTTTGAAGGGTATTCTGACTTACAGTAACTTCATTCATTCATTCATTCGTTCATTCATTCATTCATTCATTCATTTTATTTACGGCTTAGTCCCTTTATTTATCTGGGGTTGCCGCAGCGTAATTAACCGCCAACTTATCCAGCATATGTTTCCGCAGCGGATGCCCTTCCAGCTGCAATCCATCTCTCGGAAATGTCCATACACACTCATACACTACTGACAATTTAGCCTACCTAATTCACCTGTACAGCATGTCTTTGGACTTGTTGGGGAAACTAGCTTCCATGTGAGAGCATAGGTGTTTATTCAAAATACAATGTATAAGTCTAATTTTAATTTACTTTAAGGCTATATGTAAATATTGTCGTGGAATTTCTTTATTGTCAATTGGTTCACAGCAATAGCCAACACGATACAACACACATAAAAGTTGACACAAGCTAGTCATAAAATATTTTTAAAAAGTAAGAAAACGGAATTACAGACTAAAACATATTTAAACATCAGGAATATACAGTGTACATAAAAAAATCAAGGCTTAGAGCTTGTTAAAAAACGCAATTGCTGTTGGAACAAATACAAACTTATTTTAGATAAAAAGTTGTGCAAACACTCGGGGTTTCTATTAGTAGGCTAGATTTGGGGTTTTAAATTATGCATTCAAAATGATATGAGCTGTTATAAGGGGTTGTGAAATGTATATTTACACTATTACTTTTAATATTAATAATAACACTATTAAGATACAGATCAGAGCTACTTATTTTCAACTATTTAAGTAGTTAAAAACAGTTGTATTGCGCTCATAAGTGAACTAACATAAAAAAAAATCTACATTCTGTGCAACTGAATGTGATTTATGAAATGGTTTCACACTAATGAAATTGACTACTAATAAAAAAACTCCTAATCTTCGATTTGACTTTGTATAAATTGTATAAAGAGTTGCTCACTTTATAAACACTGATGAAATGCTGCACGCTGATGAGTGAGAACATAGACATTTGCAGAGTTTGTGATAAAGATGAGGTTGTTTCTTCATGCAAAATAGATTTAAGGATTGAAAATCATTTTAGCTTTTGACGATTTTTTTGACCTGAAGAATAAATGTTTACTTTATTCTAAGACAATAGGAGGATTAAAGCACAATAAGTAAACCTGTTTTTTTTTTCACAGTATCTTTTACTAAAGTAACAACTATCTGTCATTCCTTTTTATCAGAAAGATTTGCCGAAACTGCAAGTGTGGTGTTGAGGACCATGACGTGCAGCTGGAGACTGAAGAGAGCAAGAAAGTTGGGAAGCTTTTTGAGGACACCAAGTACACGGGACTCATAGCCAAGCTGAAGAGAGATGGCATTCCTTCTTATAGAAGCAACCAGTTCACCGTCTCCGTCCCAGCGGCTTCCCTCAGCAGTGCTACTGCTGTTCCTGCTGGGGTTTTCATCCCAGGCTCCAACCAGACCTTCAGCTCCATCACTCCACCTGGTCATGCCCCGTCTGCTGCTGCTGCAGGTACAGGGGGTGCTAGTAACCCTCCTGGTGCTCCAGGCATTGCTCCCACTGCTGTCCCAGGAGCAGGTCGCACTGCTGGGTCTGCAGGGTCAGGTTATGGTGGTGGGGTTTCCTCTGGTGCTGTACCAGGTAAAGGTCTCAGTGCTGCCACTATTGCAGTACCAGCTCCCACTGCAGTGCCTGCTAAGACAGACGTGGTCAAGTCTGTTACCTATGAATGGGCTCCACCTGGGATTAACCAAAGTTTGGTAAATCTCTCTTTTTCAACAAAATATATGTATATAAAACTCTTTTGTTATATAGTTTTTGATATTATATTATATTATATTATATTATATTATATTATATTATATTATATTATATTATATTATATTATATTATATTTTATTTACTATTTTTAATTTTATGCTTGAGAGTAAACTTTTAATCGTACCATGATACTTTAATCCACTAGAGGTCACTGCTCTCCACTTCTATTTCTTGGAGCTTTCTTTTTAAAGTCTCAAAGACTTCATACAAATATTCTCAGCTCTAATATTAGGTCTTCAATGCTGAAAACAGAACGAAACAATTAGCATTTATTAATTTAGCTGATGCAAAAAAAAAATAGGGGGAAAACAGGAGCCTGCAATGTTAGCAGTTAAGTTTGAAAAAGTTGAGATGAATTCTGATTTACAGCTGTGCTTTTTTCTAAGGTATTATTTTACAGAATATAAAATGATGTATATTTTACGTTTTAAAAAAAATTAGCACCCATTATTAATAAAAAATAAATAAAGGTAACATATTTTTGCAAAATATGTTGTATTATAAATTAAAAAGTACACACTTTAAATTATAGATTATAATTATTAATGAATTTAAATGACTTTATAATAAATTAATTTATATTAAATTTAAGATTATAATGTATATTATATTATTATTATATATTATAACTCGGGGGCGACAGGCTGGCTTAGTGATTTGCTCTGTCCCCTCACAGCAAGAAGGTCGCTGGGTCATTTGGCATTTCTGTGTGGAGTTCACATGTTGTCCTCATGTTGGCGGGAGTTTCCTCCAGGTGCTCTGATTTCCTCCACAGTCCAAAGACATGCGCTATAGGTGAATTGAATAAACTGAATTGGCTGTAGTGTATGAGTGTGTGTGTAAATGAGTGTCTATGGATGTTTCCCAGTACTGGTTGGCAGCTGGAAAGGCATCCTCTGTGTAAAACATATGCTGTATAATTTGGCGGTTCATTCCGCTGTGGCAACCCCTGATAAACAAAGAGACTAAGACGAAGGAAAATGAATGAATAAATGAATATTATAAATAATTTTTATATCATATACAAGTTATTTAAATTCATTAATAATTCCACAGATAAATTTTACAGAATTGTGAGTTGCAAATCCATAATTTTGTTCATTTAACAAACATCTCATCTGTCCTGTCAGGCTCTGCGGTACATGGAGCTTCTTCCTCCAGAGCAGCGGCCCATCGCTGGTACAACAGGAGCAGATTACCGTAAGAAGCAGATGGCCAAACAGCTTCCAGACCATGACCAAGACCCCGAGCGCTGCCATGAGCTTTCACCCGGAGAGATCAAGCAAATGCAGCAGTATGTGCGAAAATACAAGGACGAGGCGCTGGGTATAGGTGACATCACCCTGCCTGAAGAGATGGGGCAGGTGGGTGCAGCTGGAGATAAAGGGCCTCAAGGAGTTGGTGCCGGAGGAAAGCCTGGTGCCGGTACAACAGGGGCTTCAGGAGACAAAGGTGATGCTGTTGCTACAGTGGGGAAAGTTGGTGCCCCAGGGGCTGCTGGGACATCAGCCGGTGGACCTGCTGGTAACTTTGTAAGTAGGACAATTGTAAATTCCATTACTTCAGAAGTATAATAATACAATTATATAGCAAATATGATATGGGGATCAAGTTTTCTAAATAAAAAGTCCCAAATGAATAAAGAAATAGATAAAACATATATGCATATAATTCTTTAAATTTGTCTCTTATAACTATTTAGTGTGGACATGTATACAGAAAATAACAGATAAAACATAAAAAAATGGTAAGAAAAATCATCAACAAAGCAATTTGGAGACACTGCAAATGATGGAAGAAGAGTTCAACATGTCTCAATGAAATTTAGAGTAGGGCTGCACGATTCTGGCAAAAGTGTGAATCGCGATTTATTATTTTTTTTATTAAAATCAAGATCGCAATTTTTCTCACGATTCTGTAAATGTAAAATGAAGGTTAATGTGATTAGCTTATTATTCTTAATTTTCAAACATATAGTAAAACAACAATGATAATATTAGGCCCATGTGTAGGTATACTGTTGCTTAAAATGCTAAATTCTGTTTACTCATTATGGTGGACTTGAACAGACTTTCAATATGTCCTGTTTGTTAATTCATAGTAAATTGATGAAATCAACTATTCATAATTATAAAATTGATTTATTATGTTTAAGGCATGTGCTTGTCATCTGCCATTGACAACATTATTAGAGCATTTGTTTTCACTGGTAAAATTTGAATTTTTTTCATTATCAGATTCCTTTTTGCGTTATATGCGAGGGTTGTTATACTGACACAGTAAACATTTATTTTCATGCACAACACTGTGTTCGCTATGAAAGAAAAAACACATCAAATGCTTGTCGTAATCATAACTGTAAAATGCCATATGATCATTTAAATGTGCACACAGGTTTCACTTGCACTTTCTAGTGCCACCGTCACTGTGAAAAAAAAAAACACATACATCCAAATCAAACCTCCTTCACGGCCCTCAAACGATTGCTCTGTGCCAAAAACTGAACGTTATTTTCAATATCATTACCTGTTTTTTACAGCTTATGCAGCTTCTGTTCACTAAAGAAGGCATCATAGAAAACAAACACCTCGCGATCAGCTAAAGCTTGATTTTGCTGCCGCGAATACATCATTACATGAAGACAGAAATGACATTTTTGGGTGACTTATACCTTATAAATACAGTATATGACATTTTTAACGCCATGTGAAGGTGTCAATGCTGCTGTGAAGACTTGTGCGACTGCCTTGCTTCTCTCCTGACCTGAATCGTTGAATTAAGATCATGTGTAGGATCGAATTGAGATTGTGATCTTTTTTTAGATTAATCGTGCAGCCCTAATTTGGAGCATATATTTTCTGCGTAAGAAGTTAATATGCACATATTACATTATTATAAGTTAAGTTCAATTCAAGTTAAAAATAATTTTCCCATAATATTTACAGCCAGGGGCAGCTCAGTGGCGCTGTAGGTAGTGCTGCTAATAAAGGGACTAAGTCGAAAAGAAAATGAATGAACGAAATTACAGCCAGGGTTAATGAATTTGCAGTGTTGTTGAAAACACAGAACCTTCAGTTCTTATATGTCTTTTGCTGTGAATTTGTAAACAAGTGTTTATGATCGGTTCATGAGATCGGCCAGATCAGGGAGTACCGATCGAGTCATGAAATGGGATTATTGGTTGATCAATCGGAACATCCCTAGTAGTGAACAATTTCTAAAATTCGTTTTTTTTTTTTTTTTTTTTAAAGATGCCAATTATGAATAAAGAATATTACATGAATACTGAGTAAACAATTAAGATATTTTCATAAGTTTAAATAATATTCAGTTATTTACAAACAAGACTTCATGAATCATTAGGATGCACATTAATGTTGTTTTCCCTATATATGTTTGTTTTTTTGACTCTCAAAGTGTTGGTAGCCTTTGACTTCGATTTTTAAACGAATTGCAAAAAAAAAATCACAGTTTCAGCAAAAAACATCTTTAATGTTCTGCTAAAGAAAAAAGGGTAACTTTGGATCAGTCTTTCATTCTTGGGTGATCTATCCCTTTAAAACATACTAAAAAGCTTCAGTCCACCATGTTGAACCATTTTAACCAGACCATTTTTTTCATTATTTCATTCAAATTAACCTTTAACATTCAAATTAACCTTTACATTCCCATTATCGCATTATATCTAAATGACTCTGACTTTTATTTATCGTGGTTTAAATGTCACCATTTATTAATGCAAAAATCCTGTTTAGAGCTGTGTGCTTCCAGCAGGGGAGTTACAAATGTTCTCCAGCTTATCTCCGGATTCACTTGATTAACATAAGAGCAGTTCAGCTTCTGCCAAGCTTGTGTTAGTCAGGCTGCAGGAATGAACGTTATGTTCTTCCAGAGATCTTTCATAAATTACCACACTCAGTCCCTGTGGTTATGTTCAAGCTCGGGTGGATTTTTCCAAAAATCTATTGTAAGCATTTGAAAATCTCCTGATGGAAACACATGTATGCCATTAGCCTAATGTTCCTGGCCATTTTTAAAGAGAACGGTGCTTCAAAAATGAACACTGTGTCATTATTTACTCACCCACATGTTGTTCCCAAGCCCATATGCAGCTGTGTTCATCTCTGTAAAACAAAAGAAGAACTTAAACAGTCTTTTATCACAGAATAAACATTCATGGCAATCACATTTGTCAAGTGCAGAATAACACCATATATGTGGTAGAAAAAGGGCGTACTCTCACTATGTACAGTTGCCTTGAACCGGGCCGAAGCAAGCTTATATATATATATATATAGTTTGTTCTGTTGAAAATCGATACAAAACTTTTGCCTAAGTGGGCTAAAAAATATTAACTTTAAATGGTTTAAAAATTTAAAACAGCTTTTATACTAGCCAAAATAAAACAAATAAGACTTTCTCCATGAAGAAAAAAAATATTGGAAAAACTGAAAAATTTGGGAAATATTTGAAAAAAAAAATTCCCAGGAGGGTTAATAATTTGACCTCAACTGTATATAGAAGTTATTAAAAATAGTATTATGAGCAATTAAGTTATGAAAATGAGATTTCTTAGAGAAGTCATTTTTTGAAAGTGCTTTGATTATATAATAGCATAAATAAAACTTGTATTGTGAAAAATAAAGATATGAAAATCGGTATTGGAAGGTAAGATGGAAAAAATAAAAAGTCATAAATAAATGAGATATAAAGCCATGATGTGAAAAAATGGACATATGACATTATCTGATTCAATAAAGTTGTAATTGAAATGCATAATAATAAAGAATTCATAATTACAGGCAACAAAACATAAAATCATGTTCTGTAAGTTAAAGTATGAGACACTGGACAAGTGATTAATGCAGAAATAATTTTACAAAATGAATAGAAAAAATACAAGAAATATAGTCATAAAGTAAATTCAAAGAAACAAAGAATTATGGGAAATAGTCGCTCTGTGTGATATAAAGATATTTTATTTTGGGTTTATTTCCAGTCCACTCCAAAAAATACGTTTTTCTGCTTGTTTGAACTACGTTTTTAATATGACCCAAAACACAATTCTTGAGATTTGTTTGGGACAACTTTTTTGTTTTATGTTCAGTCTACTTAAATTTGTGCAGGAGAAAGTTTACAAAAGTTAATCGTTTTGTGTTGGGACAACAGTTTTGTGCAACAGTGAACCAGGGGTGAGGAAATGCTAAAGTGACCCTCCTCTGATCATGTTCATTAAACTCAACCTGCTCCAGTTTGTTTTTCTCTTTCATCATCTGCTGATGTTTCTACCCTCAGTCCTGCCACCAGTGCCAGAAGCCCATGAAGAAGGGTGAGCCTGCTGTGTTTGCAGAGAGGGCCGGTTATGATAAACTCTGGCACCCAGCATGTTTCGTGTGCTGCACCTGCACTGAGCTTCTGGTGGACATGATCTATTTCTGGAAAAAGGGTCAGCTTTACTGTGGCCGTCATTATGGAGACAGTGAAAAACCAAGATGTGGAGGCTGTGATGAGGTCAGTGGAAGCAAAATAGTTTTAAATATTAGCTACAAATAATAGCCAATTACAAAAACATTAGTCGAATTAATGTCAACTTTCTATGAAGCCTGCATCACAAAAAATGATTTTCTCACTTAGATATTTTGTCTCGGTTCTAGTCCAGATATCTATAAAGCTTTTTGTAGACAAGCAAACAACTTTTGTCTTGTTTTAGGAAAACAAATAAGTGAAAATGAAGTAAGTTTTTCCTTAAAACAAGCTAAATAATCTGCCAGTGGGGTAAGCAGATTATTTAGCTTGTTTTAAGAAAAAACTCACTTCATTTTGACTTATTTTTTCTTACAACAACTTGTCTAGAGAATACTTTTTGATTAATTTTTTTAGATAAAAAAAAAACAAATTCTACGTAAGAATAGTTTTTTGTAGTGTGTTTAAGGAATAAAATGTATAACAAATCAAAGTATTAAAACAATTATGCAGATCCGAGGTGGTTATTGCGCATCGTTGCATATGGGTGTGCATTAGTTTAAAAATAATTTAATGGTCCAGAGTCATTAATTCTGTTTATACTATTGTTATCACACCTAGAACTGTGTGCAAGAGAGACTGTGTGCGTGCGCGTGCGTGCGTGCGTGTGCATGCGTGCGTGTGTGCGTGTAAGTGTGCGTGCATGTAAGTGTATCTGACTATAACTACCTGTGCATTAAATGATAATCTTGCACATCTTTCAGCCAATGAGAATCAAGAATTGAAAAAAACACATGGAATAACTGAAATCATTAAGCATAATGATGTGGAATGGAACAGTTATGGCTCAAGATCTGTCTTAAACTACTTTAGTTGTGTGTTTATCTGAAATTAACAACACCTCTTCATATGTCAGCCAATCAGAATCAAGCATTCAACAGCCTCTTAGCATATTTCTTCTTATTGGTGTTTTTAATGCATATTAATGCAAGCACAACTCCTTATAAGTGACCTTATAATGTTGTATCATCTTAAAAATAGGCAGTTAATCAACTAACTGTGCTATTTATTAACTAGATTTGGTAAAACCTTGCAATCTTTTTTTTTTTTTAATGAGTAAAACTCATGTGCTTTTTGAATGCACTGTATTGTTTTTGTTCCTCACAGTTTGATTTGATCTTAAGGGGAATGTCTTTAAAATGAATTATGATATGTTATGTTGAATGCTTGATTCTGATTGGCTGTTGAATATCCTAAGGTGCGCAGTTAATATCACGACCTTGATCTCAACCATGATTTATCATTGTATCATTGTTATTATTATACATTGTATAATAAATGTCTAAAATTCATTATTATCCTACATCTCACAAGACAATACAACACACAATGAGTAAAAACACATCACATGATCAAAGAAACGGTGTGAATGTTTGTGTTAATCCACAAATGATATAAAGCCAAAATAAAGGGAACACATGCATTGGAGAACTTTGTGTTGTTTACTGTTGCTTTAATTATCTGCTAAGTTTACACAAAAAGCTTTTTTTTTTTTATCCGTTACTTTGTTTATTTAAAAATGACAATTTTAAAATGTTCCATTTTATTATTTAATACTTTTGGTGGATGTTTTCATGTATATATTTGATTTGTTTTAAGAAAATGTTTTGTCGGTTTTGGATCTACACCCCTCCAGAATTTGATATACTGGTACTTTGTATAGTGTGAGGGGTGTCTGGCACTCTACATTTTCCAGTCTCTTAAACGTTTAGACGTCACCATGTAATTTTGTCAAATGTTTTTAAATTGTTCAGCATACTCAGTGTCTCAAACGCAAGACTGAAGTCAAAATGCTTTTGTGTGTGTGTGTGGTCTTCAGCTCATCTTCAGTAATGAATACACTCAAGCCGAGGGCCAGAATTGGCACCTGAAGCACTTCTGCTGTTTTGACTGTGACTGTGTGTTGGCTGGAGAGACCTACGTCATGGAGAAGGAGAAGCCTGTTTGCAAACCCTGCTACATGAAGAACCATGCTGTGGTAAAGAGGACAAATACCTTACTTTCTCTCTCTCTCTCTCTCTCTCTCTCTCTCTCTCTCTCTCTCTCTCTCTCTCTCTCTCTCTCTCTCTCTCTCTCTCCTCATTTTGATGTACAACTTAACAAGCAGTGCACATGTGGTTTTAAAAGCCTAGCCGATTTCAGTGAAAAACAGCGTTGGGTTTTGTTTTATGTATTTGTTTTGTTTTTGAGAGACAGAATTGATAAAACTGTCAAAGTTTATTTATAAAACGCTTTTTTTAGGAACAACAGTTGTTCACCAAAGTGCTGTAGAGGTGTGAGATTAATAGAATCTAAATAATAATAAAACATTATGAAATATAGTTAGATGGAATAAAAATAGTGATTAAAACATGATAAAATTAAAGAACAGCCCTCTCACTGTGTTAAATGGCAAACTCTAAAGATGGCTTTTTAAACTACACTTAAAAGCAGAAAGTGTTTGGACTGTTTTAACATGTAAAGATCCAAAAGTCTTGCAGTCCCACCTGCTCTTTAGCCTGAAAGTGTAAAAATGATAGATATTTAATGTCATAAATACAGGACATCATCCTAACACAATAGTTGTATAGAGAAATAACATCATAAATGTAAGAAATAAATCATAATTACGAGATATGATGTTATGCAGTGGGAAATGTGTACAAATTAGGTACAATGTCAAAAGTACAAGAAGTCATGCAAAAGTTGCATAGAGTCAGTGACTACATTTACATGGACATCAGTAATCAAATTATTTGCCTTAATCTAATGAGTTGCTTTCCGCACATAATTCGAATAATGTCATTGCCTCACCACGCTGTCTTCATTTCCTCTGCAGTTTCATGTAATTTCGAGTGTTTCATTTTTAATTTGTCAACTTTAACTGCAGTTTGGCACTTTCACTTACTTTCGGGAACATTTTATACATGCCTCCTGTTAAAATCAAGGTATTGGATGCAAATATGAACTGCTGGTAGAGTGTTGTTTTAATGGAAGTTCATACTGCATGCTGAATGGAAGAAAAAAAAAACTCTGCATTTCACGATGCAGGTGTCTGTGGTCTTCACTGACTCGGTAGGTGCAGAAAGTGCTAAACAGCCGTGTGTGTGTGTGTGTGTGTGTGTGTGTGTGTGTGTGTGTGTGTGTGTGTGTGTGGACTATCCTGTCGCAAAATAGGATTTGATTGCAGTTTGATTGCAGTGTTTTCTTGTCTGTACTACTCTTCAATAATGCTACTAAAATCAGCATACTCCACATGTCTTAATTCGATTTCTCTTTAGTTCGATTTCAACCTTAATCGGATTTTTTTGCGACCTGCATCGTAAAATGCTGAGTTTTTTTCCCATATGGTTTGTGGTATCAATTGTCATTACAACAACACTCTTCCAGCAGTTCATACTCTCATATAATATCTCGTTTGTCACGG